TAAAAACTTCTTATTTTTTCTTCTTCTATGCAATTAAAGCATAACATTAATTACAAATAAAACTATTATATTGTCTATTTTTCCTTCTATGCCCTTGTGTCAATTAGTAATGCACATGCCCCTTCAAATATATAATGAAATAATATATTCGTTTTAAATAAATTATGCGTTCATATTGATTTTTTTAAGGTAACAAAACATAGTGCACATGGCAGTATTGCAAGATTAATTAAAAGCAAGCCTATAATATAATCTAGCAAGATCATAAATAAAGATTTTCCAATATATATTTTTTAAGCAATCCAATATACTTATCCCTTTAAACTCTATAATGAAACAATATATCCATTTTAAATAAATTCTACATTCATGTTTACTTCTTTAAAATGAATTTCACACAAGTTGAGTAGCTAGCACAACATAGTGGCACCAAAAAAATGACAATTTGCACGGCTCGAAGTAGTAATTTACTTAAGATTAATACTTTTTTAAAATAATAATACAAGTTACGTGAGTAACACAACATAGTGCCATCACAAAAATGACACATTGTATTGTTGTAAGCAGTAGTTTATTTAATATTAATATTAATTGTATGCCAACTTTGAATCTTAATCAATTTTTTATTCTTTTATATGACCCAATATAAGTTACATAGGTTGTTCTTTCACTATTACCTTTCCTTATGTATCTCTAGAGTCACTTGTAGTTGATATCTAAACTCTCACACAAATTGAGCTGTCAACACAATAAATTAAGCCTCGCATTATTCTAAGCAGTATTTTACTTAAAATTAAAATATAAAACTATAATTTATTAAAAAGAAGAACTTTATACAATGTTGCAACCTTAAAATGTAAAATTAGGGTGCACCTAAAAAATCCATCATAATATATTATTTTGAAGTTGAAAACCCTTTAGCTGATCATCTCCACATCGAGATGTATGAATATGAAAAAGAGAAAAGATTTCGAGTCCCAAAAATAGTGCATCTTACAACACATTATTTGGACCGTCCATTTTCAATTTTTTCATGTTTTTATAATTTACTTGATTTGAACTATTCTTTGAGTTTAAAATTTTATAATTAGAGATGAAAAATAGGTTCTTAAGATCTCATAATAAAATTTGATGATGCATCTTACTTTAATTATTTAAGGTCACAACCTTAAGTAAATCACACCCTTATTAAAAAAAAATTTAATTTATGTTAAAAGAATTCAAATCACGTGCACAACGTGTGGATTCTATGCTAGTATTAGTTAGATAATGTCTTTTTAATAAGATATTTGTGAAATGTCTTATCAATACATGACAGAAATATTAGTAATGGCAAGCCTTATCATTCAATACATTATGCAATTTAGATTCTGCAGCATAAAATTATTAAGGACCAAGAAAAATAACAAAAATCTCAGTGAAAATTTTCCACTGGAAATTAGCATGCTCAAAATTTCAAATCCAATATACATAAAAAATATCAAA